GAGCCTGCTGCTAGCACAGGTGGGAAACACTTCGGGCCACAGAGACCCCAGGATCAGAAGTGGCCACGTAAAAGGAGACGCTATGGTGAACGGGCATTTCTGTCTGTTTCAGAAGGACCGGGGTAGGCGGGCCTCCCGGGCGATGGGCTGAAATCCGTGGGGTTCCTTTACTGATGATTCCTAGGATTTCAGTCTCTTTTTCATTAAACGTCTGGTGAACATAAGGAAGAAAAACTGCAAATTCTGTGTCATTTGTGCCCTCATTTACCTAATGATATTGCTCCCTGGAGATACAGACAGCTCGCATTTCATCAAGTGAAGGAGATTACGTCTTGCAGACTCGTGCTTGGGCTCTGCCAGCAGCACGGAGCCCTGCCCCTGCGGGGACGGAGGGAGCATCAGTGAGCGCAGTTTCCCAGCGGGGCACTTCCAGCGCCGGGAACAGCCCCGGAGCGGAGCTCCCCGGGGCAGCGGCCAGGCTGCGGGACCCGCTGGGGGCTCAAGCCCGCTCTCCTCGCCGTGGGCTGGGAAACAGCCCCGCAGGGGCCGGGCCTCCCCCCTGCAGCTCTCCGGAGGGGCTGGTGCGGACCTACCTGTCCTCACGCCGTACTTGAGCGTGTCCCTGCAGTCCACCAGGATCTGCTCCAGAGACTCGGGGTTGTCCGACAGCTCCAGGTTGAAGCCCTCCATGCCCTCCAGGAGCTGGTGCGGGTGGTGGAAGTCCAACACTTTGGTGGACCTGTCAAACGTCTTCCTCACGTAGTTGAGGAGGATGTCGACGACCTCCAGCAGGAACTGCATGGTCTGCTCCTCGCCATTCTTGGAAGGCAGCAAATCTGCGGGCAAAACCGAGCCGTCGGTTCGGCCGCTCGGAGCGTGAGGTGGGGAGGGGGCAGCCCCGGCGGGGACAGGTCTTGGGAAACCACAGCAAAAGGCACTAAACCCAGCACCTAGCCTTCTTCTGCAACACTCTCCCTCCTCCCCGAGAAAGGCTGATTTCTCTTTCCCACCCTCCTCGTCAATGGCCCCGTACTAGCAATCCGGTTTCACAGCTAATTGACCGAGAAGGAAATAAAACATGAAATTATTCTGCTTCTAGGGGCTGGATCTGGAGTGACTCCAGAGGAAATGCTGGAGCTAAGCTGGAGAGGATCAGCACAAAGAATATAAAATTTTATTTAAAGCAACTTGTCAGCATCCGCAGCGAGGATCTCGGTAAACAAGCACACATAGTTTCCTTAAAAAGCAACCAAGTAAAAGCTAGGTCTGAACGTGGCTGCATTTCCAAGGGAAGCGAAGGCAGAGTACATTAAGGGAGGTGCCTGAGATGGAGCAAGCAGTAGCTGTAAAGTGCGCTTACCTCTGGCATACAGATTGGAGAAGTCCGTCTCGGTCCGCCGGAACCTGGCTTCCCTCTCGCTGTTCTCGCAGGCCAGCAGGCTCTTGGAGGACTGCCTTTCCTTCAGAGAGCTCACGATCCGACCCTTGTCTTCCAGGCTGTTGGTCCTCTGCAGGAACCCTACGTTGTTATTGCAAGGGGCACAGGTTAGAGTTTTCTCACTTCCCAACATGTTTTGAAATGTCTACTGTAGCTCTCCAGACAACAGTGCAAAGTGGTGTTTGCTCTGGATCTAGCTAATGAGGTCAGGAATAAGAGTATTTATGGAGATTATTTGCCTCCAGGAGGGAGAGCTCAAAATACCATCAACTGCAAAAACCCAGCCATGCAAAAAACAAATTTTCGTCATTTAGTGCAGTGGTAAATTCTTATTAAGTCGATCAGACAGATTCCACTTCAGTAATCAGCCACTGGAAGAGAGTTCAGGATAAGTCAATGCTATTTCAGCCTGCAGGCAAAGTTTATGGACCTAGCAGACAGGGGCAATGATGTATGATTAAATTCAGGGCCACTTTCACTTCTCTCTGGTGCTCTCACGCACAAAAGGTATGAGAATAAGCAGCCATTCTGGAGCATCCCTCTTCAGTGCTCTAAAGACAGCGGTAGCACTCATCAGACCCACCTTCCCCTTATCGGAGGACCGATGTACGTACCAGCACCCGTTCAAGAGCTGCCGATTTTCCACCTGAAAAGACGCCCTGATGCTAATTAATCATCTCCTGGCCTCCCCAGGAATTCCGCCCTTCCCGGAGCCACAGCTCTAGCACACAAGACCCAATCTAATAGCGCTATGCATAACAGCAACAATAAATCCACCTGCCCCAAGAATTACGGCAGTGGGCGCTACGCGGGGCCCCTGGTGAAAAACAAGGGCCATCTACTTTTACAAGGCAAAAACGACAAGTAAATCCATGCCCGCTAAACCACGGAGAGTGTCTGCCTTTTCGTTTTTAACGAAGGTAATGGATGTTGATGTCCCAGGCTGCACCGAGCTTGCTTTGCTGTTTGGACGAGGGAGCGTGACAGAATTGGCCTTGGCTTGCCCAGACCACGGGCCTCGGACACGGCGCGGCCGGGCGGCCCCCGCTCCCCCAGGACCAGGACCAGGACCAGGTCCGGGACCGGGACAAACCCGGACTAACGCCGCCACGTACTGAGAGCGCCTCTCTCGGGAGGGGCACCACCGTCCTCTTTGCTGCTGCTGCTGCTATTGTTTAATCAAACTTGTATTAGTAACAAATAAAACCAAATCTCGTTGTGGCCGGGGATATCCTCTAGAGAGGAAGACTGTGGAGCGAGGGAAACCAACGCCGTAACTGTGCGCATCCATTTTCCCTGTC